CAACATAAGGTGCTCTCTAGAGTATTCACATTATTTACTTAAAATACATACATATACATATATAAATGGACCACCACTATAACACCATATATACCAGATCCAAAATACTCGTGTTCTAAAGTTATGCATTTTATAGCAGACAGGCAATTCAAATGTGACTTAAGGAAATAAATGTAATTAAGGCAGAAAACAATCAGCATCTTATCAAGCAAAATTCACGAAAAGTCAAGAAACTCAAGAAAATAACATGTGCAAAACCAAAAAAAGCTAAGTCTATAAAATATGATGAAAAAATACAATAATTTATCTTACAAAATCCTACAACTGTTAGAGTGACATCTTACAGTGACTTAAATCTAGCAGTTGAGCTACCCTGAAGCCATTTTGGAAATAACTGTAGGCATCTTAATTCCCAGGCTAGGAGAAACTGGATTCATTCAAAAAAAATTTTTTTTTAATTTCATGATAATTAGCCTATGCCTCTGTATGTGTTCTTTCCTAAAAATCTATTTGGAAGCAGCAAGAGAATCCAGTAGTAATTTTGTGCGTCAGGAAATATTATAGGTGTCTGTTAATTTGTCAATTTTAAGAGACTTTTTCAAAGGAAAATTGTAACAAGGCCACATAACCAACATAAACACAGTATCTCATAAAAACATACGTACTAGAGAAAAACTACTTTTCTAATTCAGGCATAAAAATAATTTCAAATGAATGTAGCATAAAAAAAATCATTGATGATTCTCCAATACACTTTTATCACTCATATTTAAGTAACAGCAATTTTAAAATACAAGATGGGGCAGTTAAAATGGATTCAATATAGTTAAATCAGTTCTTCATTTCTTAGAATGTGACATTTGCAAGTATTCTATTCACCAACACTCTATAACAATAAAAACTGAGGTAGAAAAATTGGGTCAGAAACACTGAAAGTTAAAGGGGAGAGAGTCAATGAATACAGTATAACAATATTATATTTCATTACTCTTGCTTTAAGATCAGTAATTTACATTTAAGGTTCTCCAGAAGTTGTCAAATTGTAGGAATAGTTAAATAAAAGCAAAATGATATAATCTGGTTGGAGAGGAAATCAATTCAAATTTAAACAAAGATGTGGGAATTAATATGCTGCTGCAGATTCAAATCTTGTGAATATCTCATGCTCTTTTGAAAACAATCAGAACCAAAGCTCTTGGAAGAGCTAACAATGTTGTAGAGACCACCAGCTTTCAGTAAAAAGATTTCTCGATGAGGACATAACACTGTCCTGAAAAGAAAGATAAAGCAAATCTACATAAGAAAAGTAAATTTCATGCTATTGTATCACATTGGGTGATGGCACCAACAAAGGCAACATTAAGGAAAACTAGCAGGGCTTCTATATATAAACACATGTATTACATTATGAAAATGCATTTCTCCAAATTATTAAAAAACCCACCAAATATGTGGATTGTTACAAAATGTGCAGGATAGACTCACATGCACTTGGATAAAGAATAAATTTAATGACTCTGTTATTTCACTATTAGGATAATAATTTAACTCTTTTTTTTCTCTCTCTCTCTTTCCTCACTATTCATGATTTTGCCTTGGTTATTATTTTGCCCCTCTTTCTTTTACATCTCTTCTCATTTTTCATAGATTTAATTATCAGGCAACATAAAGAAAGACACATTTTGTGTCCCCTTATGTCCTGTCATCTTCATTAATAGCAAATATGAGATATGACATAGCCTAATTCTTTTCCACCCTCAGAAACAATGCTGTAATTAAAGTTAATCCATGAGCCAAGGTGTTGCCATTTTCCCAAGACAGATACAAATCTAAGTAAGCATCAGCTCTTATAGTAGCCTGCTAATTCATCTTGTTGCCCATTTTGGTAAACAAGAGAAACTTAAAATGTCAAAAAAATAGGTTCCAAAACCTGATGAAGCTGGTGCAGATGTCTTACGCACCAAAAACTAACTTCAGAATGAATTAAAAATGAAACAAACAATTACAAGTGATCTGGGTTATTTTTCCTGTTTTATTTTCTATAAGAACATATGAAAAAGCTAGGATTTTTCAGCATTGTCTAATAATCACTTTTGTGAGAATCTACTCAGTTTTTCCTGACCTGTTAAAAAAAAAAAAAAAAAAAAAAAAACTACCCATACATATGCATAATGGAGCAAAAGCTTTAAAAGTTTGTATGGGCATCAATGTTCACATGCATGAAGAACATTATTTTTTATCTCCTGAATTCCCAAAAAGAGAAAAATCAGGCTTGCAATTCTTTGTATATGTGTCATAGTACTGTGCTATCATGTACAAAGATCAGGGTTTAAAGTTTTATGATCCTGAATAGAATAGCAACAAGAATACACTCTCTACTCATAAATACCCACTCTTGATTTTTGCATCAAAGAAAAATCTGCAACAGTCTCAATCCTGTCTTCCTACATGCACTAACAGCAATGACGAGGAACCAAAGATCAACAGATACAAAACCAGATAAAAAAAGAAACGAGTTAATACCTTTGCATGAACTACCTTTCAGTTGCTTCTTCCATTTAATAGGATCAATAACAATATTACTCATTTGGATTTAAAATAAACTTTGGATGATAATACTGCCAAGTTGTTGAAGAGATAAGAACGTACAAGGCATTAGGAAACATCTTTCAGTATAACTTTGAGGCATTTGGCTGGTGGTTACTGCCAAAGACTGAGTAGCATCTGCTCTCACTTTAGCAGTTTATATTCCAACTCTGGTGAATGGAAGCACAATCTCTGAAACAGCCTTTGGGGAACACTACCGAGCTGCTCAACAGAACTCTTGCTCAGAAAAGAGAGGAGGAGAATAATATTACTTATACAAGAAAACTTGAAATATAATGCTCCTGAGTAAGGAGAGAATAGCAGTTTCCTAATACCGCAGGTACAGCAAATTTCTGCTTTACTAAAACATTTTAAATGTTCCCTAGAACTAAAGTGACTAAACAGGAATAGTTTTAAAAGGTAGACAGTAAGGCCTACTTAAGTCATGTTCGGGTAAATTAAAGCTAGAAGAAACAATGTGTTTTATCTCACTGGTCACTAGGCATAACACAAAACAGAAGAATGAGGACTCGCACAATATAATTTCTTTTTCCAAGTGTGTTTAAGAAGGTCATAGCCTCCTTTGCTTAATCCTGGTGGCTAGGCACAGCAACACATGGTAAGACTGAGTTTTGTCGTGATCTTACAATGTCGTTATTTTAAGTGCCCAGTAGCACAAACGACTGAATTTGTGTGTGGTCCTATGCAATCAACCAATCTGGCCACACACAGTGAAAACCAAACTTCTAAAGCTTCAAAATCAGCTGCAGGAATTCTCTCCTCAAGAGCCATAGATCCCAGATAGTAGCCACTAGTGAACCCCACAGCCACTTTCTAAACTATAAAAGGCTTCATATAAAGCCAAAATAAAGCTCTAAAAGTGGCTGCAGGAGATCACTAGGAGTGGCTGCTCTTTTGGATTCACTGCTTTTGAGAAGTAAATCCCTGCAGCTGCTTTTAAAAGCTTTGAAAGTTTCATTTCAATTATCAAAGCCAATAAAGCTTCAAAAACAGCCATAGGGATTTGTTCCTCAGAGGAGCAAACCCCAACAGGCAATGATGAATAGTGTGGTGGGTTCTGTGGCTCTTAAAGTATGTACAGATTCCTGTAAGTCCTACACTTGTAATTAGAGCTCCAAGTTGTGCAGCAATTGTTACACACAGACAGTTCATTAAGGCTTAAATGGCAAATTCATTACTGATTTCCCCTTCTTTTTAACAGTTTTATTTAGGAATAGTTCCTTTTTGCTTTCTTACACCTGCACAAACTATAAGCATCTCACATGAGTATTTCAAAAGCCTTTCAGTAAAAGCTTTCTGGCTTCCTCAGGTGGTGGTAGACATCTCACAAAACGTTGCATGGATGTCTTTCCAGACTAAAGCCACATTTCAACATGATAACTATAGCATGCAAAACAATTCATTCTTCAGAATGGCTCCAACTTACTTAAAAGGCGATCAACTAAAATAACAAGGAAAGTTGGACAGTCAGCGAAGACTTTTGCTTTCAATTGCAATATAAAAAGGCTTCCGTTAGTTCAATAAATATAAAAACAAAAAATAATTCAAGAGTACCCACAACCTAATTGCACTGACTTTTAACAAGATTTTGGTCATATATTTAAAATTATGACAATCCTCTAAAAAAAAATATATATATACTCACATAAATATAGTTCTAGAAAAACCTGATGTATGGTCCTAAACTCTTTAGGTTTTTATCTTAAAACTTTGATGTCTTTGAAAATATTACCAAAATTATTATGAAATAAATATACTTTGGAATGAAAACTATAATGAAATTAATGAGGTATGTCATATAAAATATATTTTAGCACACTTATAAATTCTAAACCATCACTGGTTTTGACTATTTTTTCTTCTGAAATTCTTCAACTTCCATTTCCACATGGCAGTATAAATAAATACATGCATTTGAAAAAAATGCTATAGAAAAATCACTATAAGATGCAGGTATTAAAACTGAGTTACTAGTTTTTATGGGGAAAAAAATAACTTTAGCATTCTGTTAAATCATATTCACAGGTGTCCTCTGTGACCTGAACTACTTACTTTATCTGTTTCAATCTTCACATATGGTAAACACGAAGGAGGATTGTAAGAAATAATTAATGTTTGCAAAGAGCTTGGAGATCTTTGGATATAAAAAGCATGGGAAAAAACATAAAGTATAAGAGTATCGAAATATTATTTTGTTCCAATTTGAGATAACTAAGTTATCACAAAAGCCTTCAAAGGTTATTAATACAAGATTATGTAATAAAATTCTTGAAGAACCTTACTTATCACAATTGTAAATGCTAACCATATGCTGGTACTCAAAGCTGCTTAACTGTAACAAAACAAAAACAAAACAAAAAACCACTATCAAGAGGAAAGGCTATGTTTCTCACCCATTTCAAGTATGCGTTTATGCAGAGGTATAGCAGCAAGAAAGGGTTCATCTTTACAGGACTGTATCTGGGTTCCAACCAAGTCAGAGTTGGTAGCCATAATTCGGGCATTTTCTTCATTTAGATTAACACCAGCCATAGAGGCAACATCATTGATGTCATCATCATCTCTATAATGGAAATACAAATAAAAATAATTCTGCATGTGATATACTCATTTAATATATTAGCTGATTTTCCAAAGGTAATCATCATGCAATATGTCTGGTGACGGGGCCTATTTGGGGCACAATGACCAAGGTCTCCAACTGTCATAGAAAATATTCCAGATTCAGAAATAACTAAGTATTTCTCTGATCAATTTAAGAAATCCTCAGAGGTAGGACAATTTGTCTCTAACAGAAGGAATTACAGAGGTATCTTCTCATCTCAGACAGCGTTTCCCAAGCCACTGTTTGCCCTGCAGTACCCTTCCTACCTGCTCCAGAAAAGCGCTGGATTGACAACTTCCAGTTTTGGATGACAGATCATACCTGTACCTGCCAAGCATCTCTCATCTCCTACCTCTGTGAGGCATGTGACTCCTAACTGTGGAAACGACTAACTGTTCTTAACACATTTTGTTTAGGAGATATTACTGACATGAATATTGCACTTCTGCATATTCTAAGAGTATATTACATAACCTTTTGGAATAAATGCATGGAAAAGATTCACGTAGATCCAAATCCACACTCTTGCTAGTACATAAAACAATGTAATAAAAGCTTATTTAAAAGAGCTTCAAAAAAGTTACTACATATATGCCCTCCTACACACCCTAGAATTCTTTCTATCACTTTGTAAAATGTTTAAGGCCTGCAGTTAAAAAAAAAAAAAAAAAAGGCAGCTACAAGTACCACAAATACAGTATTGCAGCAAAAGAACAGAGAAATCTCAATATCAGGAATCAAAGCCCTCCCTGTCCTCTCACACACTCTTTGACATGTGCAGCAGAGCATCCTATTCTATGGAAGATTTCTGTGGTCTCTTAGATACTGGTTTTGATGTCTTTCACAAGGGGGTTAAGAAAGGCTTTTTGTCTGTATAATTCTGGAGAAACGTGCCAAACACTTCAAGCAGAAATCCTATGCTGATTGTCAAAAAAAGTCCTGTTTCCTATACAGATGAGATTCCACTATTTTTCATGAGTGCTAATGACCTGACTGCAGAACATAGCAACAGTGGAGTCACTTGATTTCTTTTCTAGGAGTGAAGTTCCCAAAGATGGTGTCACACAACTGATCTTCTACTCTGATGGTGTTCATGCTGTGTTCAAAGCAGCTTCATTTTTACACTTTACACAACACACAGCCAAAACTCTTAGGAGGATCACGTAAGCTTTTGTGAGGAAACTGGGCTACTGTGTATTTGGTTCAGAGAGGACCAAGCTACCCTTCAACCTCCAACCACTTGTGAAAAGACCCCGGAATGACAGTCGATAAATATATTTGGCCACACAACAATGAGCGCTGACTTAAATAGTTAGTAACAGGTTCAAAAGAGTCTAAATACAAAAATAGCAAATAAAATGGAAAAAAAAACAAAAAAAAGTTCTAAAAAATTAATGCTCGAAATCAACCTAGGTAACCTAACTAGCCTGGCCGTGTCAGAGCCTTCCTGTGGAGGGTACGCAAGCAGAATTCCTCAAAGGGTAACTCTAACTGAGCAGGATGGTTGTGTGTTCCTTTCTTCATAAAGCCACCATGACCTCACTTGTTTTGGCAAGCATTTATAACACAGTTATGTACAATTTGACTAGCACAAATGTATTATCCCTTCCCTGTTTCCCGATTGGGTTGTCTGCACATTGATCTGCACATGGAGGTATTTTCATCTCCATCAAGCAATCATTCATACAAATTCACTCTTTACTTCTCAGATTTTTCATTTTCATTCATTTTTCATTTTTTTCCCCTGCAGTTTAAGCCAGAAAACCTTTCTTAATGATTTTAAAACCTAGGACAAATGTTTCAGCTCAAACAAATAAAATAAAAATACACAGAATTTCAAATCAGAAATAGTGAATCCAACTGCAAATTTTGATAAATAAATGTATATAAACAAATGAGGATTAATGTTCCCTTGGAACCTACAGGAATTAATAAGAATGAATGAAATCCATCTCTATAACGCTAAATAATCACTAATTACACAGTCAACTGTAAAAAATGATCAAATAACAGATATTACTCCCAATTTATGTTATTCTATGGATTGAAACTTCTGAAATGCCACATAACAACAAAAAAGTCCTGGACAGAATAACTTCCTTCCATCTTCCAGTAATTTATTATCTATGGGTACTTATATTTTATTTTTCTAAGTTACAGGGAAGATGGACATGAAATATTTTAAATCATAGACAGCACTACAATTTTTCCAGTGTGATGACAACATCCCTATCAGTATATGCTTTTTAGCTTTGAAGAATTACAACATGGAAGGGTGACTTTGGATACTGAAACAGTCACAAGTTTTTATATAATTGGACTGGCAGCCTTGCCAAACTACTTCCTATACAAGACAACTTTTAACTCCAGATCAGTGAGTTTTTACAAGCCATTCTATGGAACAAAGATGCCATCCAGTGGTAGGTTAGATTGATGATTACCATCTATCTCCCTTTCATCCAAGCACTGTTCAAACACTATGCTTCTTTGTGTATGTTACTGTGTTCATTCTCATTATGCTTAGTAATTATTTCTGGTTTTACTGTATTAAGTATTGAATCTTACGGCATAAATATAACCTTCCAATATGCATATTATTTATAAAAAGTGGGCATGTGTGCTCAAACTCTTTCCAAATGTAAACTCCACCTTAAAATATAGTCTAACGGTTCTTTCTTCTTCCTATATTCAACCTCTTACACCACCTCCCTCTCTCTTCTTGATTAAAACCATTTGTGCAACTACACAAAACATTTACTTCAAAAATAACAGTCAGAAAGGAAAAAAAATAAGGGATTTGCAGTTGTCCATAACATGCTTAAAATATTTTGTTTACAAAAAGACAAGCTATTCAAAAACTGGCAGTGCTTCCTTTACGTACCTCTTCAGAACAAAAATACTTAAAATGTTTGCATATTACTTCCCCTCCCCCCAATGCTCTTTTAAGATTTGAACCCATGATATTCAGATACACAATACTGAGCTGCTCCCAGCTGAGCTGCAAGACTACATGCTGACAGAAAATATTATTATTTTCCGTATGGGAACGGATGACAGAGACTGGCATAAAACATGTTCTACCAGCAGGCTATACAAGGGAGACAGCATTACACTCTCGATTGCCCTACGTCTGAAAGGTGAACTTTCAAGTTATTTCGGCCAAGGCACTGCACATATGCAAGACACTAAGCAAGCTTATGAATTCTGTGGATCACAAGATCAAAGATCAAGTACAGTATTTTGCATACAAACTGTCACTTGAAATTACTGTAACAGCCAATGCTGCATTATATCAATTGTTTATGTAAATTTATTAGAATGTTTATTCCTATTTTCCAAGGTTTAGTTTGAAGATTTCCCCATCATACTACTTTGTCACATGATTCATTCACAAAATCTATACTGGATCATACCACAATTGAAGATTAGCATAAGGGAGATGACTGAAGACACCACCACATTTGTGTTTAACATTTTTCTTTATTTTGAAAAACATGGAAGAAGGTCATGCTTATCTTATATCTTAAAGTATCTGTTTGGAAAACAAAAACAAAACCTGAGATTTAAAGCTTAGGGTTTAAAATCGTATACAGTTTTGAGATTAAAACTTCAAAGTTATCCATTTAACAGTTACATCAGCTTTCTATCTTTCTCAAAAGGACAGGGTGTTATACATGTTATTAACATGTAAGAGTATCCAATTCGAAGGTTTTAGCAAGAATTATAAAATCCTTTATATTAAAAACAAATGAATAAAAAACGGTAAATTCAGAATGCATGTCTTTTAGCTAGTCTAGCATAAAATTCTGAAAATAGAAAAACAGTTAATTGTTGTTTGCTTCCAGGTAAACTCTACTGTAAAATGTTGCATGTCAGCAGCATAAGATATGAATATCAAAATAATCTTCAAATAATCTCAATCACTCACTCCATAGACAGTTTCTGCGAAAATCCCCATCACACTGGCTGCGTACGATTTGACGGGCTTCAAGCAGTTATCGATACACCTTTGAAATAGTGCTTCAGAATAAGAAAGTCCCAGTGAAAATACAAGAGCATCTGGCTAGCTGCTCCACTGTGAAACATATCATACACACACACACAGGATGGTTCTGTCCACTTCCAACCCAAATTTACCCATCTACAGGCAATGTCACTCAGTCTTACTCAATACAATTAGAAAGTAGTGAGAGCCCAAAAGCATCTATACTCTCTGAGACAGCCAAAGCTGGACAAGTCCCTGGTCTAACAAGACCTGCTCTAGTTTGAAAATTGGACTAGATGATCTCCCAAGTCCCCTTCCAACTGAAATTACACTATGACTCAATGTCAGGAGGGAACTTCCTCAGATAGGCCACAATCTGAATTATGGACAATAAATACTTTGAGTTTGATGCTCTCCGTGTTGTCAATGACAGATCACACTAGTGGGAGCTCTGGGGTTACTGAATTAGATGATGATGATGTATGTATGATGATACATACAACAGATACCGCCAAACGCCGTCACTCCTAGGGGACTTTTAGGGCCTTCTCTTACACCTCTCTTTGCTATAGGAAGCCTCAGGTGAACTATAGTATTAATACTATGGTGCAAGTAGAAGTCTGGATCTCTACTGTAAAATAGAAATATTAGAAAGCATGGAAATCTACCTCCATCTTTAGGTATCAACATAGTTGAAAGGTCAGCTAAACAGAATTTGCCGGCAGTCTCCCCTGAAAAAAATAGCTATATGAAATTTGAATCCCAAAGTAAAATTTCAGAACTACATAATTTTATGTTGTAGAAGTGTCAGGGTTCAAACTCTATATCATAATATTCTGTGAACCCAGGTAGGCAATCTCGCACTTCAGTAATTAAGGCTGACATTAAAAGCTAGACTATTTGCAAAACACCAACTTACTGCTGCAATTCTCTCATGTAGCTCTCTCCTATACTTCCCATAGCCCAAAAGGATACCACAGATTTAAGAAAGTGTATTATTAGAAGAAAGAAAAAAAAAAGGGGGAAAAATAGATTTTTCCATTTCTTGTGACCAACATTTTGTCCACAGGAGTGAAAAGCTAAAGTCAGTTATTTTAAAGAAAGTAGAGTATAAAAATAATGAAACAAATATGCAATAATAAAACACTAAGGGCAAAATAAATTTATAAACAACACAACTATTTTTCAAAATTCTTGCTTTGCTTTAGATGCCAGTTTGCCTTCCAGCTAAAAACACATTCTTCACACACGCTGGGAATGTTGAGGAAAACTAGTCAGCATTCAGAGGATTAATACAGATTTCCAGCTCTCTGCCTTTAGGCTTAATAGTCAGACATCTATTTGTCCTCAGGAGAGGTTAGGGGTTGAAATGCAAATATGCAAACAACTGAATTCTTTGTTACAATATCAAGAAAAGCTTGATCTTTCTTCTGTTTAATAAATCCTTGCAATTTTATGGACTTATTTAAATGCAGCATTGTGTCTTACTATTTTGAAGGAGAAAACAATGCAAGGAAACAAACACATTCATTCTGACGAAAATTTGTTCTCTAGAGGAAAAATGACATACACCCTTGACAGCTTATTTACCAAACTCACTAAAGATTTATTGATTTATCAATCAGTGCCTTGAGCATTTGCTTCTCCCCAAGGGAAAATTAACAATTCCAACTAACCTAATATATTCTATGTATAAACTAAGTGAATGCAAGAATCAATCCTGGCACAGTTTACAACATCCAGTTAGAAAAAAAAAAAATCTGTCCCTTTTGGTGTATGTAAAATTGAAAGCTATACTAACGAAGAATAAATGCTCATGTTGCTCACAAACATAAAAAATACTTATTAAGACAGTACAATTGAACCCAACAGACATTTTAAATCATTTAAATACTCAGTGGGAGGCAAAGGCATTGGAAAATAAAAAATTGAATGATTTGGCTTCTAGATTAATACTAAGTACTACCCCTATTAGTTGCAATACTGACATGCCTCAAAGCAAGCACATTGCACAAAGAATGAACAATTCTGTTCTACTTCACCTGCAAAGTTTAAGCCTGTCAATTAATTACTGGTTTGACAATGTCAGAGCAACAACAATTCTAGAAGAATATGAAAAATCTAGAAACGTATTTTCATTTAACAAAGTAGTAACAGAATAAAATACTTAAACACAAATAAAATGCACCTACATCACGTGCTTACATTTTCCACCTTAAAGGAAGGTAGGGAAAAGAAGATGTAGCAAATATAAGATTAGCTTTTCACCAGAAATAGCAAAAATACTCAAAATGTGAAAAATAATGTTAGTAAAGGTTTTGACTACAACAGAACTGGATACAGCAGCTCAATACATCAATGCTACTGGGCTGAACCCTTGCAACGCTTGGCTACTACAGAAACTCAAAGGCTGCCTCAACCTCTGCTGTGTACGTAATCCCATGAAGAACAGATAAAGCAATGGAGAGTCTCTCTTCTCCAAAAATAAACATAAAATACCCACCACGAAAACTGTATTATCTCTAAGTCAATGAAGAGACAGCTGCAGCTTTGGTACAGAAGCCCATTTTTCAAGTCTGCCCTATCATCACAAATAGTAATACAAGATATGTCCCATAAGAATGTTAATATCTGATACATAAAAAAAAATACGTATTTATTGAAACTTAATATAACACAGTTTAATTTACGAGAAGTTTTATTAGATTCCACAGAAGTGAAAGCTTTGCTAAACATTCAAAATTGCATCTAGAGAAAAATCTTCAAGAAATATCCCCCCTTCTTTCTTTTAATAGAACTAAATTAGAAAATTGTTATCCAATCAAAGTGAGAAAAGCCAGGAAATATTGTAAAATACTGCCCTCTGGTGTTAAGCCTATTCTAAGTTCTATTTTATATTTAAGACCTCCTCCTCCTCCTCCCCATCCCTCTGTCTTTTTTTTTTTTTCTCTTTTTTTTTCTTTTTTACCTGAAAGAACCACCTCCAGGGTCATTCAGCTTGTTTTTCTGATTTGCAGAGACCTGAACACCGAAGCCCCCAGGACTTTTGCTGGCTTGGATTGTTGGTGCCTTCCCTACTGTGCCTGAAAAACACCAAGCAATGTTATTATGAGCTGTCTTAGACAATTTACATCAAAGAACCTTCTGTCCAGGAACTAAATTTAACTGTCTGTAAATTGCAAACAAAGGAAGTTATTATTTTTAAAGATCACACTGCTGAAGAACAACAAATTAAAATATAAAATTTGTACTAACATTATAGTTTGTTCAGTGTTTAAAAGGACAGAAGATTCTAAAACTGAAAACCAGTGGTCATAGCTGGTTATAATGCACATAAAGGTTATAAATGTTTGTAATGGCCAGTAAACCACTCCTCTATGCAATCTGGGCAGCATAAAGAAACAGAATTTGAAGTGCTCTTAATAAAGATGGTTTAAGTCGCTCAAGGTACTGTGGTAATAACTGTCTTTACATTTTCTTATTTCTTTACTGTTCACTATTGCATTGAAAAGTGTGAATTTAAAGTAGTACTTTTAACAATCTTTATTGTTCTATAATATATGTAAATAAGTATATTGCCAAATGTAAAATAAACTCCTCAACTTCCTGTTCTAAAAGTAATCTATGTCTATATGCAAACTTTGCAAGTCTATATGCATAAGTAAAACCTGAAATTTCCAAATGGGCCAAAATGCATTAGACCATCAGGTTCTCCTGAAATAAAAAATAGATATTTTATTGCTATCAGGCACTGGAAAAATCTAATAAAAATAATTTTATGATGCTAATTAGTAAATCAAGAGACCTGGGTTGCTATGACTGTTAGAAAACAGTACATCAGTCTCGGACTCAAAAAGTATTGACAAATGGATCTCTTGGATTAAATCATCCTTTACCGTTTATACGTTTTAAGAATATGTTTACTTGGGTTACATTTTGTCCAACTCCTTTAATCTCCACCTATCTTTCAGTAAAAGATCTTACCTTTTTCCTTATACATTTCTCCATATTATTGAGAATTACATACACATAATGCTCAATACATTTTAAAAAGTAACTGGAGTTATTCTTGCACAACTATGGCTCATTTCTACATAGTCATGTTATAAATTTTAGCAGAGTTATTTTTCTTTCTTGAGCTCTAAAAAAACCTAGAATTCAATTGTTTGAACTAACAAATCCTTTTAATAGTACTGTTTTATTTTTAGAACTAAAAAAGCACTAGCTTTGAATGAATATGATTGAAAAAATAAGATTTAGGACTTGAAGCTCTTAACAGGGGGAACAAATATTATACCATCAGAATATTCAAGGCCCATGAGATGGCCGAGATAGCAGAAGTCCAGTTCTACTGGTTCAGTCTATAATTCCATTTAAAATAATTTTGCAAATTATATCAGTATAAGTTTTGGGAATATATACTTGTCTTTTGGTTTAAATCACAATTGTGTACAATTAAGCCGTTAGATACAAATATGGCTAAAACACAGATTTATAATATGAAGCAGGGCATATTTCAAAAACTACAATCTTTTGTGCGCTTAGATATTTCCTAGGATTGGTAATGACATACAGAGTCTTTCACCATTGGGTCCCTGCTTCAAATTCAATCAGCATGACCTAGAGAAACAGGCCAAAATGCAAAATATTTACTTGAAATCTAGAATCTGCTAAATTTCTAGTTCTATTTCTGCATGGGTTAAATAGCTGCAGTGAATGCTATGGTTAATAACTTCACCCTTTGGCTCACTTCCATCCATAAGATGCAATTAACAGAATTACTGTACTGATAACTGCTTTGATAAAGAAGTGTGAATTTTTCCTGAAATAATTATGTTACTTTCCATGGTGTGAATAGTTGCATCAGTATATAAGTTCTTAGAGCACGCCTCAATTATCAATACTAGTGTTTTAAAAAGCATTGCAATTTGTTCATACAGATGAATTAATGTAAAAAAGCACTACAATAGGAGTGCTACTCCTGTTTGAGAAGAGAAACATACCATTCTGTGGCAGCCAGCTCAATTCTGGCATAGCTAACAAAACCAACCACCACCCTAAGGCTAATGGGTTTAACAACAAAAAGAAACAAGTGTTTATTAGAAAGTGAGAAGGCTAAAAGAATCCTCTTGATCCATATATTCTCTTTTTTTTTTTTTTTTTTTTGATCCTCAAGAGAGGCATGTAGCAGTCAGGTACCAATCCACCTAAGCACAGGCAAACGGGTGCATCACCTATGCTCTGGCTAGTCCTGACATGTCATGTTGCTTCACTCAGTCTCTGACATGGCTAAAGAGTAAATAAACATAATGACAATAAAATGGCATGTAGGTTCAAAAGTTTCTCTAGGGATTCTACCCTGACCTCTGTCAACAGAGAGATGGTCACTATCATGTCCAGCCTCAGGGATAAGAGCCAAATCAGAATGATTAAATTGAGATATTCTCGAGGCTTCACCAAAAAATATAAAGTATTTCTTTCTTGGTCCAGAGTTACAAGTTTAAAATAGCAAGAGTCAAGTTCCTGAATTCTTTCCATAGAACCTTCCATGAAAAACTGCTTAGTAAGGAACCAAACCTGTGAGAATTTTGTCATGAGTAGTTTCAAAAGTTAACTGTGTTGGTCCAAAACATGGCAAAATTGCATAATGAAAACATGCATTGTCTGTAAGTAAGTAAATACAAATGTCAAGTCTGCCAGTGTCAATGATGTAAGTTTTTCCCCCATGCTACCAGTTTTCAACTACAATAAAACTCATACAAGGGTAACAATCTCACTAAAATACTTAAACCCATACCTGGTGGTCTAATGGTCTGAGTTATTACCACTGGCATCCTAATCTGGGTAGTCTGGCAAGCAGGGTTTCGTTTCACAGTTTGAGCAGATGTTGACTGGATAATCTGCTATTATTAAAAAAAAAAAAAAGTATACTCATTATATTCTTTATACACAAACACATACAACGTAAACATACTAATACCTGTAATTACTGATATATCTAAAGTATAATCAGCTAATGACAAAAGTCATATTTAATGTATGTGTTTGTGTGTATATGTAAGTATAACATATACTTTTTTATGCTATACTGTTTAAAAAAAAGTATTTGACACAAATGTCACATGTCACAATCTCAATCGAAAAAATGTATTTCAAAGAAGTGAAATAAATATTAAAGCTTAGACTCTTGTCTTCAGAAATTTTATTAGGAAGCAAAGCAATTTTGTTTAAGAAGATGCTGTGCTAATTTTAGTGGTATCCACCCACAACTGTTAGGTCTTTCATCATATATTATAATTTTTAAAGAAAATAAATAGTAAAAGCAAATTTCAAAATATTACGGGTTCCAAAGTCAGGTATACACAAAATGGAAAACAATGTTTTGTGGTGGCCATACATTTTTTATCTTTTAAGTGTTAATTGAGTATTTTCATGGCTTCACTTAATACTGAGCCAAATTCTGAAGTCCTTATTCAAAACTGAAAATGGGTAAGAAATCCTGAATTTGACCTTTGAATTAAACCAAGCAGATAAAACCTGGAAAAAATCATGTCAAAGTGATAGAAAAACATATGTTCATGAAATAAGGAACAAGGCAGTCACAGATGTAATGAATATAATATTCAAAAAGACATGTGGACGTTGGAAAGATGGAAAAAAAGATCAATCCAAGAATAAAGTTAAAAAAACAGAATACAAACAAATTACTAAAAATAAGCATAGGAATCAAGCAAGTGGATACAAATTTACTCCATTAGGACAGCACTCAATGCAAAATATTTACTTGAAGACACCCAATATAAGAATAAAGTAGCTATCATGCTTAAAAATATGAAATACAAAAAGAAGGGAAATTGCATATAAATGTAAAACAAGTATCTTTTAATAAATAAGGAAACAGACTAGTCCACAGTCAAAAAGGCTACACTGACAACTAAGAAGGGGAAAGCTGAACTGGATAAGCTTTCAAAGAATAGTGATGAAAAGCAGCCATACCTTAACTGGATGAAGGTCAGGCCAAAAAGGGAGATTTGTGGCCTGTGCATGGAATTTCTATCTGGTATTTTACTAATCTTTTTTGATTAGGATACTCATCTGCAAAGATAACTAAGCTAACTTCTTGAGTTCAGCATCAAATTCCGTTTTACCTGAGTAAGGCATTCACAGGTGCTAAAAAAGTGCGTCAGTAAATAGGGCAGCATTTAAACATTTTAGAAGATAAAAATAATGTTTTATTTACTATATAATACATTTGAAAATGTTCTTTAACAAGCACCAAACTAAACCTCAACATATTCATAAAGGCTAAAAGTGAAGAAAAAGATAAACTATAAATCAACTCAGAGCAACATTTTACACTAAGATTTCAGTTTCTAAATAGTTCCAAAATTCTTTCAACACAGTCTGTCATCTTCAAATCTGGAAAAGCGAAGCTGTTTTCAGTATTTCTCCCACTGAAGACAGCAAGCACAATAGCAAAGCAAAAATAACAAAGACACAGAAAACCTAAAAGATTTAATATGATATAGCAATTGCCTAGAATAACGAGTCTGCAAAACAGTAAAATTACAAACAAAACTATGATCAAGACAGTGATAGGTCAGCAAATACTGTCTTAGCCTACTTACTCTTCATCAGTCTATTAGTCAAAAGCTGAAAAATCATCTCCTAGATCCTAGACTCTCCAAGAAAATCAATGAAGCAAGAAAGTCATAGCATTACTTCTGTGAGTGCATTACGTCTCAAGTTCACTTCATGTTTTTCTTTTCTTTCTATAGAATAACATTTCTCCACAAAATCACAGACACATTTCTCACAATAACGAAAGTACTCTCCCCTCTTTATCTTCTCACTTCTCCCCTTATGCATTTTCTCTTGACTCCACTAAGCTCACTTAGATACACCATCAGTCTGCTCCTCAGACATGCTCCTTCTGCTCACTTCCTCAATGCTTCGACAGCTACTGCTCAGCCCATTTCTCAAGGGACACATTACTTCCACATCTGTAGGAGGGGAGGGATGGCTATACAGAGGTGTTTTTATTTAAGTAGACTTGTGAAGATGAAAAGAGGGTATTTAAAAGTCACATTACAGGTAACCAGAATAACAAAGAAGTTAAATAACCCGAAGACCCTTCTTTGAAAAGCTTAGATTCAATAAATACATGAGAATAAAAGCGCTCTCCGGGTCTAATCTTAAGCAAAAAGGTAATAACCATATCAAGACTGGTGTAAATCTTCTATCATATATTATTACAGAAAAAAAAGAAAAAAAAAAAAGAAAAAAAAAATCAGCCAAAGCACATAAAATGGATCCAAGCACACAGTTTGATAACTTCTACTCTTTCTCTCTCACCTCAAATGTAACATAACAAATAAAATTAAAAGACAGTACTTACAAATGATGAAAAAATAATTTAAGAAAACTAGATTAGAGCTCACTGTTAAGGTTTTGATGCCAAGAATTTTCAAGTCTCAACAAACTAGGTGCTCATTTGCCAATGCAGATGCACAGGACCACAATAATATGCTTTCCCTTACTTGACAAGGGCTGAAAATTAGCCTGACTTGATTTACACAAAACATACTTTGCAGCAGAAGCACCTCATCCAAAAGCTTGAGCACTTGAACTAATGAACCACATTTTACATATATGTACCAAATACAGAAATAAAAAAAGCATAGGAAATAGAAGCTGCTGTAAATGATTGAAACTAAAATGAAATTGGAAAATTTATCCTGAACTTTGCATTCGTTCCTTTAATTGAGGTTTAAAATGCAGAAGAAAAAACAAACAAGCCACTTAACTTGCAAATGTACAAAATTCGGAATGGCTATGGTCTGATATGACATTTATCTTCACTCATGAGTAAACACTTGCTAACTCACTTGTGGCTATGCCACTTGTGATTTATCAGTCTACTCGCTCCTGAAGATAAATGTCATATCAAACCTCAGCTATCATGTAATCTGGCAGCATTAACTTACAATGTTCATCCTTTTGTAGGCCAAGAATTCCTATTTGCCATTATTTACCATGCTGCAATGGTAACAATCACAGTATTTAACCAATGCCTAAAAATTAGCATAGGCAGTTACTTTTCTTCTCCCAACCCAAGAAATGAACATTTTTTTAAACAAGCATATAATCTTTTATGGTACTATGACCACAATACTGTTCCATTGAGCATAGACATGTTTTCAAAGAAACTATGAAAGCCACTGGATCATTTGGCCCACCTGCTCCACAAATTATCACTCATTGCTTCAAATAGTATTTTATCAAGTACAATTTTAAATATTTCCAGTGAGAGCTCTTTTACCACTTATTTTGGGAATCTGATGTGCCATTTAATAATCCGCTTTATGTGAGAATATTTTGCCTTATGTTCAGCCTAAATTGTTTTTTGCTTCATTTCATACCATTATTTATATTTATACTCCATTAGACCAACTTAAATAATTTACCATTATACATAATGTCTAAACCTTTAAATATTTTTAAATGTTATGTTCCCTTTTATTCATTGTTTGACCATGATTTCCTGTGAGTCTCTAAAATGTGTACGGACTACAGTAGTTCAACAGCAGGAAAGGCCTCAGCAGAGGATTAAAAAATGAAGTAGAAGAGCCCCATGTAACATGATGCTTATTCTGCAGTTTCATCTTATTTCCAGATTCCATTAATCTACATCACCTTTTCAGAACTCTCCACAAATGACAGTCTCAACCACAATGACAGTCTTAGGAAAAATGTCAAAACATGTTTTGGCAAAAAACATTCTAACGAGACTTAGAAAATGTCTAAATTTCCCCTCTTGTCAACATGCACAATTTTTTTCAGCAAACAATGCTGAAGAAATACATCTTTCCTAATCCTAGTACTGGGCAAATCTTGGCATTTCTTTTTGTATACCTAGATTTTTTTTATTTAAGGTGAACTGCTTTAAATCTAACTGTTTAACATTTACATCTAATAATTAGCCAGAAGCCCTTTCTTATTACAGTGCATTGGCAACACAGTACTTACAGTGCGAGTCAGTCATCACTACTCAACCTCCTTACAACATCAGCAAATATAAAAAATAAATAAAAAATACATTTGTTCATAGAAATTTTGTCTGCTGTAACACTCAATCTTCTCCCTAAGAAAGAATATTTAGATGAATTGTGGACATTGCACTTGGACCAATTACACAAATTGATTTCTGGCTAAGCTCATTAAAATCTCATCAATAAAATATTAGCCCAAGATTCACCCACATATCCCTAACTAGCATTAGTTAGCAGCGTTAATAAAACTATCTAGCTCTTACACAGCATAGCTTTGCTGTAGGCTTAGAACATGAATTCCAACATTCTTCACAAGACAGACAAAGTCACCTCTGATCTCCATTAGCACTGCACATTTCAGTGCTGAAATCTCCTTTCTGTAAATCTACATCGCACAACAGGACAGGGTACAGAGAACTCTCAAGCTTCCAAGACACAAGCCTCCTAAATTGCCCACAACATAACTGGAAGAAAAAGATCACCATATCATAACTGCTAAAATATAAGTGAATGAGGCCTATGGACAAAATCTGGATGCAAGAGCAATAGCTCACAGATCTCTGCCCCTCTGCTATGTTGTATGGGCATGCTCTTTGCCTTTCACTAATTTCTATCTAAATGATCAGCAGATGTACTTTGTCACTGATTAACAACACAAGTCTCCATTCTGCTAAAAATCTTCTCACAGTGTGAGTGTTTTTCTGGAAATAAGAAAACTTATCCTATCATTTTGATTTTTCCCCCTCTCTAAATTAACAGCAGTATTTTCCTAGAGCATATCAAAATAGTTTCAGAATGAGCTCTCTAAAAGCACTGAAAGATGGCCTACCTTAGCCACTACTTTTAGTAAGAACAGTATTTGCCTAAATGTAACAGTTTTTAAAAGCCACCCTTATGAACAACGTGATTCAGAATAGTGTAATCTGAGATGCTCTGAAAGTCCACATTATGGATTAAATGTACCCGATGACACAGATTAATATGATGACTTTCCAAAAGTGCTGCAGATTCTCTCTCTAAAACAGAAAAGTGAAAAGAAATGAAGAGCTAACAAATTCTCCATATTTTAAAAGAAACTGGACTACTGAAAACTGCCCGACTTGCATCTATATTCCAAACTAGGCTTGCCCTTCTGCAGCTGGACAGTTTGCAAAGACAGCTGGAATTCTCTCCAGTGAGCTTCACGCTTGGGGAATCTGGAGCTCAGCCAGGTTCCTCCATCAGTGCTGGCCACCCTCAGGCAAGGCAGCTGCAATCTTCCCCTCCCAGACAAGACCAGGCAAGACGGCCAGCAGCTTCTTGCTAGGCTCTGAATTTGGAGAGCACTAATAAGTGTGAAGAGTGTGATTGTTGTCACCACGGGAAAGTCAATACTCACAAGGAATTACTACTGCGGTACGGATGCTGCTGAAGAGTTTGCACCACATGTGATGTAACTGCTCTTGGGAGTTATCAGATTGTTTGTACAACTCTTATTTTATAACACTAACTTTGTCTGTATAGAACTAACTCAAGAGCCATTAAAAAGTGCTTAGTTAATATGCTTGATTCTACTAGTCACATTTTCAATAAATTAAAATCAAATGCAAGTAGCCTGTTTTACAATAAAGCCAATGAGTTTTTATCTTCTATGTACTTACACTTTTGTAAATATTTTCTCATTGAAATAACATTAAGCACAGTTTTCCTCTGCACAACTTCCTACCTCTGTAAAAACATGGGTATGTAATGGTAATCTTATGTATCCAGTAAGATGAAAAGTCAGTCCTAGATATATCATCTTGACACAGAAAGAAAAATGACTTCTGTTCCTCATACCAGTCTCCCCAATATTTAACTTCAGCAGTGGTCAGCCCCCAGGAATTGCAATAGCATGCTGAATGAGATGACAAATTAACTCTTTACATTGTTAATTTTTACTCATGCTAGTCACGAGTGCTTGCTTTTCATATGCATTGGCATGTACAAGAACAACAACTTAAAAGGTAGGTTAATGTAAAGATCCGTCTCCATACAAATTTGGCTTTTCCAGAAAACATTCCACAAGACTATAATCACAAGTGTGAAAAATTGTGTGGATTTATCAAGACATTTTTGTTCTACCTCAGCATTTCTCAAAAGCTGGGGTGCAACTTATTTGGTAGTTATAGAAGTGTTACCTGGTAGTAGCTCGGTTCTAGGACTGTGGAAATTCCAGATCAGGCTGAAATTACTGACCATAAATGTTCACACTTGTAAGAAATTAGCTAGTTGCTGACAGAAATTCAGTTTCCTAAGGCAGTATTTTTTACGCCTACTGTCAGTAATTACAACCAGTTCCTGTTCCCCTACCTTGAAGAAACAATCTACTGTCAATTCAGCATGACATAAAATGAGATAGATTGAAAAGGAGTCACAAAAAGGTTAGAGGTTGTATTTAGGTAATGCAACACTCCCGAATATGTGGGGCGAACCCTTATTAAAAGGATTCAGATAGCTGGACAGAAAAATAAGTAGCCAAGTTCAGACGCAAAATCAATTCCACGTGTATCTTGTGTGTATTGTAAAAGTCAGTCAGGTGTTTTAGCATCAAAGACATTCTTATACCTTAAAACTATGCTCACTGAAGACTACTAAAATAATATTCATTTTATTTTAAATGTAGTAATTTAATTGCTAGAAAGTATTTGTATAGTTTAAATGAGCCAAGACTCAGACATTTTTAAATGGGGTAGTGTAATATTTACATTAAAGTAAAACATTCTCTCTTCGCATACCACACAACATTTACTTTCTTCGTGGAATGTATAAATTCAAGGGAAGATCAGTGTAATGTATTATAGTGTTATATTTGTATTTCAAAATCTCGATAACATAAATTTTCATTAACTCAGTACACTCTTGTTGAACTTGCCAAATTGCATTTGAAGTCAAGTACCTTACACATGAATGGAAGTCACAGACAAAGAAAGTCTGTAACACTCTTCTTAGATAACTGTATAAACGTACAACTGCTGCAAAAATTCTAAATATAGTTTAATTACAACTATAGACACACTCACACACTCCTGTACAACAGTGGGATAAATTCATCATCCTCAGTGAGTACATGGTTATACAATTACTATATTACTAATGCTAGGAAATCAATTAACTTAAGCACATAATATAGTACAGTGATCACTGTACTTTACAAAAAAAGACCAAGAGTTTATGAAGCCCTTTTCAATATTATGTTAATATTATTTAGATTAATGGGACTAACAATATATAAAGTTTGTGCTTGTATCTAAGTCTCCATAAAATGAGATGCTATCATATATCACAGAAAATGATAGGAAAAAAAAAAGAGTATTTTTCCCAAACAACCTGAAATAAAAATAACATTATTCAGCCTGTTTAAAAATTTGTTTTCACCCTGAAGTACCTACCAGTTGAGAACTTTGACTTGACTGTACCACCTTAACCTGAGGAGGCTGCACTGTATTTGATACAGAGACCGTGCAAATGTTGTTTGGTTGCCTTATTCCTATTGTCTGCGTTGTGACAACAGCAGAAATACTTCCAGAGGCAGACTGAGGTAAAATCTGTGATAGCTTGGTTTGTTGAAGTGACTGCTGAGACGGCTGTCCTTGCAAAACTGAATGTTGACTATTCAGTAAAGATTGTCTCAATGCAGGTAGACTTTTCTAAAAACAGAAGAAAGTTTATGAAATATCAATATTCAAGTTGTCAAAAAACAAAAAAAATACACTTCTAAAACTTGCTATAAACATACATACAGCTCTCATTCCAATTATGCAATCTGCCTATTCCTCAGAAAGAAATCAGATTGAGCATGCTTCATAAGAGGAAAAATTCAGTTTAAATTTTTTGTAGACTTTCATTTTGAATTTAGCAATGCCAAAGATTTTGACGTGTCCTAATTCCACCATAACAGGAAAATATGACATGTCCTCATTAATACTTCCTCAAACATTCCACTCAAAACATTCCAATATCTAGAACTTATAGAAAGGGCAAAAAAAGGGAAATAGGGAAGGCAGGACAGTAGGAACAACTCTATTTCCATTGCATGCTAGAAGTGGTAAGCTGCACCAATTTACTTCTCCTGACATGCCTCCAGTACCTAGAACAAGATGATTTAACTGTTAGTGCCCTACAGCAATAGTTGTTTACTGTAATATTACTGATCTAATGTATTCTGACTGGATTAGAAAAGTGTACTATTGTATGCTTCATGTTCAGGCCAGTTCAACCAAAAAATACAGTTCTAAAAGAATATCTTGTATCTTTATGAAGAAACTTTTTAGCTTTTAAGTGGTAGCAGTGTTCTTTGAAGTGCTTCCCCAAGGCAGCTGTAGAATTCAACAGTGTTTAAGCCAAGCTACAGTCCCTCCTAAACTTCCAGTATTTATTTAAAAACATAGTGGCTGCCGCCAAGAAAGGACTCCAAAGAAAGGAAACAAGTTAAAACTAATCATTGTGAAAGAAGCAACTACAAAACAGGAGCAGGAAAGGACACAAGTAAGGGTTAAAGCGACCTTGAAGAGAAAAAAAAAAAAAAAAAAAAGGTGGTGGGGAGAGAATTATGAGAAAAAATAAAGAGACTAAACTAAAGGGTTAGTGTCTGTCCTAAAAGTAGTAGTCTAGGACTAGAAAAATAATAAAAAAAAAAATACAAAAAAAGCTTTTGAAATGATAGATGTGGTTTGTTGAGGCAAACATGGTTTGTGTGTCAGTATATAATTAGGCATATGGAAGCTATTGTAGCTAATGTAGAAAGAATGAATATACTCATTTAGGATCCAACAATTAATAAATCCACTATCATATCAGAGATTCACTTATAGACAAGATTAGTCCCAGTTTACCGGTAGGATCTATTATTTAGCAGCATTATTCAGTTGAATGTTTAATAGTCATCATTCTATATGCGTTGAAATGATTCATATATAGATTGCTGTCAACAATATGGAAGCTGTTTAATTACTTAAAGCATTCTATAGAAGTAACCTGCAATTCTTCCAAACATGAGTGCTGTACTTCATTATAAAAACAAATCTACTATCTCAAAGAAGTAAATTAACTATAAGAGTAAAGTTTTCACCACACAACAAGCAATATTTAATTTCCAAATTACCCAAAACCAGCTTTTTGACTTAAAATTTGTGACTAACATGTTCTATAGCAGAGCTACTCAAGAATAACTCCAGTTCAGCTCTGGACTGCAAGTATTGCTTAAAGCTACACCAAGGTCCCAAGCACGAGGGGTCCCTCCTGGGGGACACCCCTCTTTCCAGCACTCTGCACCCTGGCAGAGGCAGTTGGCAGCCCAGCGCCACAGCACCCAGCCACCACTCCTGCACTAGCTAATGCCATTTAGAGGGATATTCCAAAACCTCAAGTGCTGACATCTGCATTGACATAAATTCGTCTAAACAGTGTTTACGTTACCTTAAGGAAAGGTACAAGATATGGCTGAGGAGATGATTTGAGCTCTGACTGAAGGCGGCCTGTAAATTCTTCTGGATCAATCTTTGCATCCTTGATGGAGGGAAAACCCATAAAAATAGCGTTCAGTTTGTTTATTGTTTCCAGGTGATAATGAGAACATACACAACTGGCAAGCTCACATTGTGGAAACATGCACAGTTCCCACATATAAATACACACACGCAAATATATTGCTAGCTAGTCTACGATATCAGAAGAGCACTTAAAATTTAAGTAACTCAACTCAGTATCACAGAATGCTTGAGGTTGGAAGGGACCTCTGGACCATCTAGTCCAACTCCTCTGCTCCAATAGGGACACCTAGAGCACATGGCACGGGGTGGCATCCAGACAGGTATTGAACATCTCCAAAGAAGGAGACTCCACAGCCTCTCCGGGCAGCCTGGTCCAGGGATCCATCATCCTCACAGTGAAGATCTTCCTCATATGGAGATGAAACCTCCTGCATTGCAGTTTGTACCCTTGGGCATGCCCCACGCCCCATGTCCTTAGGAATCTTTATTTTGTAGTACTATAAAATCTTATATATTATTTGTCTACATAAACATGATCAAAATATTATCCATTAAAACAAGAGTATTTTTCATAAATGCCTACTAAATAATTTGCTGGATTTCCTTTTCCACAAAATATGGGAAAGCCTAACTTAGCAGATTCATGAGTGTGTGTAATACACAGAATATTTGCATTTTGATGCAGCCCATCTCCTTTCGTTGTCAGTATAGCAAAAAAAAAAAAAAAAAAAAAGTTACACTCAAATCAGTAATTTTCAGCATGTACAAACAACATATATAATACATTAACCTGACATAATGAAAGATAACTAATAACTAAATATTTACCAACAAATCCTGAACCAGAGCTTTCACATTACGGGATGTTTCTGGAGAAGGTGAGTTATGAGAAGCCAGTTTTATAAGGGTAGCTAAAAAGTTTTTGCATTTTTTCACATTCTCTTGCATTTCCTGCAAAAGCCAAACAAATCCAAACAAACAAGTCAGGTGCATGTTACTCAAATCATGATTCATTGCATTTACCAATCACTATAAAGCAAGAAAAGGCAGAATTGCTTCTACATCAAATGAGACATTTGAAATGCATCTGCAATTATTTTACTATTGTTGCTAGTTTTCTGACAGTTTCTTCACTTCATGTAACTAAGTATTGTGCCTTTTGGCTAATAACAAAAATCTATTTTATAATGATTGGTTCAATATGTTTGTACAAAGCAGCTACAAGAGTAAAATTGCATTAGAAATAGTTTCCAAACATCATCATATCTAATCTTCATCTAATCATATCTTCATCAGCATAAACACAGATGTTCTAGTTTTTTCAGCGATCATTTTCATACAGTGTAATTTTCTCTTATTCCGAGAACCAGAAATGTTATACTTCAAAGTAATAACATTTTTGAGGCCCAGCAATGTAGTAATAAAGTCCACAGACTACCTGTCAGATTGCTCTGATTACAGGAGTTCTCTCACTATTGAGACATATGTGGCAGGACAGGGAAAGCAAGCTGACCATTATTATCCCTCTCAGAATGTGTATTCCATTTAGGTGAGATAAAAGGAAGGCATTCTAGTTTGTAAGGAATTTGTTACATACCAAGAAGTAACCTTACACTGGAGTGGGGGGGAAGCTCTGTTTCTGAACCAATCTGAAAATTTTACACAATACTAAGAAAATGATGTATGTCTAAAACATAGATTCTTACCTGCGATACCACTGTAGTTCCAGGTACAGGAGAGCTTGGTATGACCTGGGGCTGTGCTGGTACTTGTGCTGTTGTATGAGGCGGGAGCGGCAGCGGGGTTACTCAACCACAAAGTCCATAAAAGCCCAAAGTTCATAAAAACTCATTTCCTTTCAAATATACCTTTGCTGACAAAATAAAACCACTGATTTTACTTGCTTTAACCCTAACGTTGCCAGCCTTTAACCATGCTGAACTGTAAAAGTTCTCATTAAAATTTAATACAAAAATAAATAGACCACTAAAAATGAATTGCTATAATCCAGCCCTTTAATATCACCATGCTTATATTACTTGTAACCCAACTGTGTGCAAAATTGACTCCTACTATGAACACGTCAATTCCCAATGATCTGTGATCATGTCACCAGTATCACAGTTATGGTGACAGCTCAGATGCAGATGACACAAATGCACTAATAGAGCTTCCAGGTATAACCCAGGCCCAGCAGCAGTACATATGCTTTGGCACAGCACAAAGCCCTAACTCAAAAAGCTGTCCTGGACCTAGCCCAGTTACATGTAGAGGCTGTGTTGCTCGCTCCTCCATTTGCTAAGGCTCAGAGCTTATTAGGCAGCAGAGACACCACACACACAACCCAGTTCAAGGCTCACACTTCACCCGACCTAATATGCTGCATTTCAAAGTACCAGAAAGTCTAAAGCAGGCAGAATGAACAGCACTGCAGACAGTGGAGAGCTCAGCCAGCCAGAGAACACAAGGTGCTGTGCTGAAGCTCCCAACGCAAGCTCCCTGCAGGAGGCACCTAATATGCTGCATTTCAAAGTACCAAAAAGTCTAAAGCAGGTAGAGCGAACAGCACTGCAGACAGTGGAGAGTTCAGCCAGCCAGAGAGCACGAAGATGCTGTGCTGAAGCTCCCAATGCAAGCTCTCTGCAGGAGGTTGCTCTGTTTGGGCACAGGTACAAAACTCCAGGTACCTGTGACCACACAGCAGACAACAGCTTTCTACGGGGACCAGCCCTAGCCCAGCATGCCCAGCGCTGAAGTAATACTTACAGGATCAGCTGATTTAAGTCTTTTTTTTAAAAGGAAGCTTAAAATTGAACCTATGCTACCCTTTTTATTATCTAAAAAACAGTAGAAAGTAAGTATCAAATAATATCTATATAATCACTTACCACCTCTGTAATGAGGAACTGACTGTATGTTATTATTGTTCTCATGTTTGCAATAAAAGCAATTTATTAAAATTTCTCAAAGTCATTTTAGAAAAAAAAAAAAAAAATCACACAATTATGAACTTCCTTCCCTTCCTTCCCCCCACCCACTCCGCCACCTTTCATGCTTTATATTCTTGCAACTTACTGTGGTATGTGAAAGAATAGAGCCACCTGGTAGAGTCGCAGCAGAAGTAGCACTAACGGGTGTAGCAGTTGCCTGAACAACTTTGGCTTGCACTGGAACTCCTAGGCGGACGGTAGATGTGGCTACAGAAGTTGGTTGCTAGTAAATGAAAAACAAAGAATTTCCTTTTTTTTTTAATCTTTATAACTTGATCTGCAAGCCTTTTACTAATAATGATTATAGGAATTCACTATATGAGTAACTCTGCAAAAAGAAAAATTATATTATGCTCAACCATATACGATTCTTTAATTAAAAATATTGCAAAATCAATTTTCTTGTTGGTCAATGGTGAGATGTCTGCAACAATTAAAAAATTAATCTGGAGAAACAATATAAAAACTGTAAGAAGATGTTCAAAATAGATTTGGATAAAATTATATACCAACATCATACAGAAAATAACTCTACACATTTTGTGAATCGTTAGTGTAGAAATCACACTACTTAAATGTCTTCTCTTCTGCTGGGAGAGGCAATGTCTATAACCATTAATGCATCATTTCCAAGGAGGGTCAATGTTTGACCCCTGGGATTGGGTGTTTTATGGTATGCATAGCCTTCAAAAAATAAATTACACTATATAGAGTATAACTTGGATTATGAATTCTCTCATGAAGTAATTGCAGAACAATAAAGGCCAAAATACCTATATACAAAAATGCAATAATAAAAAAGTCATCCATTTGCTTCCTGTTCGCCTCTGATTGCACGTTATACCCTCTTACAACTTGCATTTGCTAAGATTTGCACCCAAACATGTTAGAAAGATTCAGTTGGAGTAACAGATCATGGACAAAATTGTTTCTCACGAAAATAAAATCATTATCCTTGATTCACATTTGTAATTATACATTTCTATAATTAATATTTTTAATCAAGAATGACTTATTTTAGCTTCTTACATTGTACACTAAACCTACATAAAAATCAAAGACCATCCAGTGTACTTAAGAGATCTCCGGAAGGAACAGAGGCCCAGACAGTCAAAGCCCCAAGCATTCCTTACCAATCAGTCCAGCAACATCATCTACTGGATATCAATCTTCTGCACTCGGAGGGAAGGAAAAAAAAAAAAATCTACCTGACATCTGAACAAAACCTTTTTTGTTGCTCTTTGGATAGCTTTCAAGATTTTTTAAATCTTGAGTTGGGATGTCTTCCATACTGAGGCAGCCTGGAGGCAATAAACAGCATCATCATGAATAGGTAGAATTGTCTGTCTTTTTGGAAGAAAGATCACATAAGCTTTTTCTTTTTTTAAAATACATACTTCTTTTTTCAATTTTAAAGGATATCACTATTTTTAAATTCCTTAAAAATAGTGGTTGAGTGGAACAATATGCATCTGATGCATGTTTGCATTTAAAATAAGTATTGTGTATATTGTTAATTTGCTTATAATCAGTGCTCCCAACCTAAGAATACAGCATGCTTGTGTTCTGAATCTGTCCCCTTCTTGTCAGTAACTGCTTCCAGAAGTGAAGATTTACAAAGGGAGCAGATAACCAGGCAAGCTTCTGGAAGCCATTCAGTTCCAAGTAAGACCTGCAGCCAGAAATCTGCAAATACAAAGCTCAGGCAGCTAAAGAATTTTTCTCAGCTAATAAATGCCTACAAATAATCATAGGAATATACTTGAAAACAAAATGGCATAACAGTGAATTACCCAAAGTTTACAGCACATTTCATACACAGTATTGCATGGTACCAGAATACGGACCAACTGAGCAAAATGAAGACTAAATTCATTCCGTTTTAAAAAACACCAGTGGCAAAACCCTTTGACGCAAAACTGCAGTAAAATCTATTCATGTGTTATGCAGTAAGAAAATGCCTTACTACCCAAAATCTGCAAACTAATGCAACAGTTTACATATGTAGCTCCAAAATCTGTAAGTGTTAAAAAGATAAGTATGAGTGTATCAAAAACCTAACAAGGAATTATCCTAAAGAAATGCATAAGTATCATGGAAATGATCTACAAATGACAACGATAAGCTGCCAGAAGGCAATATAAGGGACTCCCAACACAAACACACCAGCAAAACCAGGGAAAGAATATTCCAGCAGAAAAAAAAAAAAAAAGAGTGGTAAACAGATCTCATGAAAAATCCATGGGAAAGGAAAAAAAAAAGTTCAACATTACATGGAAGAAGGGGGAAAAAAAAAAAAAAAAAAAGGGCATAACCCCAAATTCACTAAGGTTTGGCAAGATGCTGATTAAATTCCAAAATTATCAACAGAAGCTTGGAAAACAACATATTTTCAAATGCAGCTGTATTGTTTTTGACTAGATGCATCATGTTTTTCTGTTTGCTAAATATGTAAATTAATGTTTAAGAAGCCTTTTTTGTATACTTGGGGATCAGCAGGCAGGACAAGAGGACATGAATGAATACAGTATGTACTCCACAACAAATCCCTGCAGAGATACCAGTTCATGCTTAAAGAGCCTTTTGCATACAGACCTCAGCTTGCTCTGTCCACCTAGAGAATCCAGATATTATAAGCGGGGTAAAGCACAGTGTATATGTGGAAATAAGGCTTTAAGCTGGGTCTGGCTCATGTCTGGCCAGCCTGGAAAGTGGATACACCAAGATTTATGGTGGCTGCAGAAGCCATGCAGATAATGCAAGTTACTCTTGTTTCAGGGCGGAATAAGTCACTTTGCACAAAGGCAGTCGGTGCACATTACAACTGATCACACACAGCATCAGTTTGGAATTACTCCATATAGCTACCTCATAACTTGCCTGGGTAGAGCCTCTCCCCAGAGGTACGGGCACAGGAACAGAGAGGCAAAGCTTGAGGCATAAACAGGAGCAAATAGACATTGTACCTGCCATGTACACATCAGCTGACTTTAGATTTGAAAGTATAACGAACATACAGACTGTCTTTGAAAAAGTACGCCACCAGAATAGGGACAAATTACCCCAAAATATCTAGGGATAATTTGCTATCGCCAAGGCAAGACTACACCAATATTAGGTATTGCATCAGGTATTAACAGCTTTATAGAAATCCAGGCAGTTTGACCTTCCACAGGTTAACACACTAATGTACGTAAATCCTCAGAAACAGGTTCATGGCATACTCGTATTTTGTATTACAGTACCACCTACTGATGAAGACTATGGGTACCACTCTGCTCAACACTAAGAAGCCCAATCTCTACACCTCAAAGTAAGAAACCTTATTCTTTGTCAAACATTACATCAACCTTTTATGAACAGTGCAGCCAGTTCCTCATCAGAGGAGGACAGAAAATACTTCCATAGTATTTAAGAAAATATTAACAGAAAAACAGGGGCAATTTTATCAAAATCTACATCCTGATTTACTTTGTGTGTCTTCCAATACATGCCATCTGTTAGGTCCTACACAAAACTCAATTTTAGCAGAATTTGATGTCTAGATTTAGATTTGCAAGTCTGGAATAAAATTCAGGGAAGATCTCTTACAAACCTGGACATCTTAACATGACTGTGTTTAACAAAGGAAAAAATCTAGGGTGCGATTATGGACAGTGGCAGAAGCATAGGGTAAAGGTCAAGTCTAGTAGTTCCTTTTAGAATAAACAATTCATACAATCTTTCTCATAGGCAAAGGTGGTAGCACTAGTTATTATTAAGGTATCAATACTCCCCACTACCAAAATCTGTTTTCTG